TTGTGATTGATGGATCTGTGCGATCATTCTATCCTGCTCTGCTATCGATTGATCAATCCTATATAAAAATCTGTTGATCCTCTTGCTATCACTAGTTTCAGTAGGAAATCCTGATCTTTTCTTTCCAGTTTAGGGTTTATGGAAAACTTTCCGAAGGGGCATGGAAGTCTGGGATTTTGTACGCAGATCAGTCCATTGACGAGATGTTCCAAACCATCCATCATTCACGTGATGTTAATTTAACCATCGTTAACCAAAATCATCACTCCAACTCGTCCTTAGTATACCCACCTTAGCCTAGCTTCTAACCATTAGGAAGTTCCACGTATAGACATGCATTTCATATACTGGTTGTCAAAATTTATTGAGAGTGTAAAAAAGGTTGGCGGAGTTCACACGTTTTGACCTCGTCGAATTCAAAGCCAGAGAGAGACTGACATGTTCAGTCAAAGCTCAATGTTTCACTGTCATTTTACAGCAAAATTCTGTATTCCAAATTCGTCTTCCCGAACTGGGGTTCACGTGCTGTTGTTACCTTTTGTGGTTCCGTTTTTCTTATTTCAACTTATCCTGAATCTCTGACTAGAAGAGTGATTATCTATATTACATTTCTGTTAGTATTGCCATAAAGAGCCCCATCTATTAACACTTTCATTACAAGCTTGGATTGAGGCAAATGATGTACAGTACTTCGTTCATGGATCCAATGTGAACCAGCAGGTGGACCTGAGCGTTGAAGCTTCCAGGCCTACGTAACCAATCCTAGGTTTAGTCTCAGCAACTTTAACCAGCTTACAGACGTAAGAGTATAACTGTCATACCAGTAGCTCTAATCTCAGCAATGGTTGGACTTCAGCCTCAAACCATCCAGACTTGAGTGACCAGTCCAAGCTCTTGAGCCGCTTACGAGACTTGAGTGAATTTGAGCCTCAAACAATCCAGCTTGAGTGACCAACCCTACATGTAGCTCTAGTCTCAGCAACGTGAACCAGCTGATGGACTTGAGCCTCAAACCATCCAGGATTGAGTGGCCAACCCTAGCTCTCGTCTCAGCAACATGAACAATGAGGCTGACTTGAGCCTTAAACCATCCAGGCATGATCTGAGTGACTAGTTCTAGTTTTGGAGCCTCTTAAAAGACTTGAGTGAGTTTAAGCGTCAAACCATCTAGGCTTGAGTGACCAATCCCAGCTCTGGTCTCAGCATCATGAACCAGCAGGTTGGAGTGAGCCTCAAACCCTTTTGGTTTGAGTCTTGACTAGGACTGACCAGCCCTAGTTCCTGAGCCTTTTATGAGACTTGAGTGAATTTGAACCTCGGACCCTCAATAACAAACCATAGCTCTAGTTTCAGAAATGGCTGGACTTCAACCTCAGACCATCAAGGCTTCAATAACAAACCCCAGCTCTTGTTTCAGAAATGGCTGCACTTCAACCTCAGACCATCAAGGCTTCAATAACAAACCCCAGCTCTAGTTTCAGAAATGGCTGGACTTCAACCTCAGACCATCAAGGCTTCAATAACAAACCCCAGCTCTAGTTTCAGAAACGGCTGGACTTCAACCTCAGACCATCCAGGCTTGAGGACTAACCCTGGGCCTACTCCCAGAAATATGAACCAGCAGGTGGACTTTAGCCTCAAACCTTCCATGATTGAGTAGCCAATCCTTGATCTGATCTTGCCAGCATGAACCAGCCGATGGACTTGAGCTTCAAACCATTCAGGCTTGAGGGACCAATCCTTGCTCTTGTCTTAGCAATATGAACCAGCAGGTGGAC